GAGCGGTTTACAGCCAGCGCTGCGCGTCCGCTGGCCTAATTCCACTCATTAAAGTAGCGGCAGTGAGTCAGCTGACAGAACGAGGCCCTCGGCCATTCCCCGGCCGTCCGACTCACTGACTGCGTTTGTTTGGAGGAGGAGCAGCTCTCAGAGCTGGATCTGAAACATTTAGAGAAATTCAGTTTTCTCCCCTCTCTCCTTCTCTCTTTCTCTCCAAGCCTTTACCAGTCTGGTTTCAATCAGCTGCCTGTTGGGGTCCATCTGCTCTTTAACAGAAAAGCTGTTTGACTGCAGAACACCTGCAGGTTTGTAACCCCCACCTGTCCACGTCCGTCTGGCTGCAGACTGCAGGAAGCCAACGATGGATATCCAACTCCACCCACATCCAAGTCGGGCATTTTGATTAGGTCACCGATAGGAAGATACCAGGCAAGAAAATCGTAATTGCTCCATGGAAATATAGACATTAATTTAAAGGTAGTGAAACTAATCTTGCAAACACTGAATTAAACTCTATACATAATATTATGTTAAAATAGTGGATGTTAAATAGGTTTGTACAATAAGTCCAAACAAGTTTAACCCAAAAATATTTATTTCTCACAATTATGAAGTGTGGAGGCTTAGGTTTAGGGTTAGGGCATTGTTTTTTTCCGATTTCGTATAGACAGTAAAGTTTAATTTCCACCTGAGAAAGCTGCTAGTCACATGACCTAATCAAAATGGCCCACTTGGATGTGGGAGGAGTTGGATATCCAACCGAGGCTCCTATAGGCTGCAGACAGAGGCTGCTCCACCTGTCTGGCAGTTACCTCTTTATTTAGGGAACCCGGGTGGTGACTTCCCGTCTTTGAACAAGCGGCGAGTCGGACAAAGCCGGCCGCCACTTCCTGCCTCCCGCCACAATAAAGCCGCTCCACGTCCTCCGTTATTGATTTTCTAGCGGTTAGCCTGCTGTCAACATAAGGGCTCATGCTAAGCTCTGATCTGTGGCTGAGTTATGACCGGCCCTGGACAGTGTTGTGGGGATGGGGCCGCATGGGGGGTGGGGGGGGGGGGG